ATTGGTGTTACCTTTTTTTTATTTTTTGGGTTACATCATACATTTTTAATTTTATTCTCCAAAGTACAATATTTTTATGATAATTTAAACAATTTATTTTTGAAATCTTGTTTTGAAATCAATTTAAAATAATACGTTAAAAATAGTTMTATTTATAATATTTTAAGGGTTTTAGACTGTGTAAAATTTAAATTGAGACTTAATTGTTTTATTTTTAATAATAATATAATATGGTACCTTTTTCTTTTTATGAATTTGAAATTGCTCAGCCTATAGAGTGTATGTAGACAAAAATAAAGTATCTATATCAGATGTTAATAACTAAAAGTTAAATTAATTGTTTTTCAAGAAGAAATATGATGTTATAATATAATATATACGATAACTTTTCGATCACATCGTCATTTCTAATGGACGTATAACATGAGTTCAGTCATTTCATGTAAAAAAATGACTACCACTCGTTTCAATTAACTAAAGAAAAATATATGTTTCCACGTGGAATATTTCCTACTATTGTACATATACAGAWCGTCGCCATTTCATAAATTCGTATCATTTAATCACTCGGTATGTTTAAATTTCAACATCTGCCGATATATACAGTTTGTAACAGAAAGATTTGATCGAATATCAAATATTTTATATTTTTTTTTTGTATTTTTAATTTGTAATATATTTTTGGTACACTCTGTATATATATAATACGTAATACGATAGTAATTTATTATGAATGATAATATATACCATCTATATTATATTGACATATTGTATACTATCTCTGGAGCACGTCAATGGGCATGGTATCTATAGTTTTCCACAGTAAATAGTAATAAATATGACCTAACTTCGTTACTTATTCATATTCACTTATATAACTGTTATATCGAATTTGACTCCGTATAGATTTGGTTTTTAGTTTTTAAACATCATGATCGTTATAATGTATTTTGCATCGTTAATAGTTGAAAATCATATACCATTCTTGATCCCCGTTGTTATTATGCATTTTTTATTTTAAATGTAGTGAAAYACTTGGTACAAAATATTACATCTTATGTTTATCTTGAATTTTTATTTATTTATGATACTTACACTATATTATATTTGTGGAATTATGTAGTAATTGGATATAATATTTATTTTTGATAGTAATTGTAATGTAGATAATATCATTATTATTTTTCAGGTATACAGTTTTTGCAAAATTGCGAACAATTTTATGTAACTCGACACGCTACTTACTTCGAATAAATGTATTTCAATTTTTTTCAAAATCAATTATGATTATTAGAATATTTTTATTGTTAATAAATCATACACCGTTCATAGTTCTCAATGATGTTTTGTATATTATATTTTACAATATTATTGAGATCGATATGTATATTGCAAAATATATATTGCGTTCATTTTTGATTTTTGATTCGCGCATACTATTTTTGTATTTTATTCGTCATCACAGGTTTAAAATAAATATATACAGTATTTATTGTTTTATCCTCATATTATCTATTGAAAAAAATAAAACATTTTGTAGTTGCCTGTACACAACAATATACGCCCGCTATATAGGTACCTATGCAATGATCATATTATTATTATATTCSTATTATAGTTTGTAAGCAATTAACCGAATAATCTAGTTATTACATTTTTTATTTGATGTATGCACTGTAGCATTAAACGTTTGTAATCTACAGTACCTATATTCGATACAAACAAAAAAATTAATTTATCTTATCTTTATTGTATCGTTTAATAATTTGTATCAGTGTATGAAGCTAAACATTACATACAACTTTGCAAACATAAATAATATACAGTATGATTAATTGTTACTTGATAATTGAACTATTACTTCTAAAATATTGATTACAAGTAATTAATATTATTTTTTTACAGTTTAAATATTTACCATGAAGTTCTTCGAACACTTCTTTTTACAATCTTAAAAAAAAGTAATTTTTTAACAAATCTTTCGCATGAAAATAAAAACAGTCGTAAGTAGATATACATCTCAGAACTCTAGTTTGAGTTTTGATTCAAAAGTAAAACGACTAAAACGATCATATTATCGATTTATTTGATTTTGATTTTTTAACATGAATTAAATATGGAACATTATTTTAATTTGTTTTATTACAAAACAATTAATCATTCAAAATGTAACCCAGTATAAACACATTGTTCACTCATAAACATTTTATTTCTAATCAATCGAAACATAAACACACACTCACTGAGGATTTCTATAATATAATCCGTTTAATCGTAGGTAACGTAGTAAAAAAAAAAAACTGATCGATTCTCGACAAATCTGTCGGTACCCGACTCCACGTGTGTTGGCTCGTAACATTCATTATACACGGTATAATGAATATAATTATCAGATAATAACATGTTAATTTAATACAACCCACCGTGCAAAATTACACTATCAAACGAACTACTACAACGGCAATTCAAATTATTTCCATGTGGGTTTCCGTCGGGAACGTGATAATATTATAATTCTTCAGGCTCGTGCAATAACAGTAACCGTTTTCTCAACTACTATGGCGTTGGGTGTTGCCGACTACGTTGTGTTCGGAATAATGTTGATCATGTCCGCCTCGATCGGTGTGTACTACCGGTTTACTGGTGGTAAACAAAAGACTACACAGGTAATTAATATTTTCGTCCACAGTACGTTTAAATACATCGAAGGTTTTCATTTTTATTTTTCATTATGTATGTTTTACTTTTTTTTCGTAACACTCTCCGAAACCAACGTATATATTTTAATTGATTTTTGATTCTCGATTGTCCCCCAAAAATTGGCATTTTAGCTGCGACTATGGTACTTTTGTGCACATATTGGACAAACGTGAAAGAGATTATCAACTAGGTACAAATCAAACTAAATCGAAATAATAAAAATAACAAATAACAAAGAAACTAGCTTTGCTTTATTTAATACTAGTATACTTGTAGGTGTCGAGTGTATCTCGTCATTGGGTATTTTATTAGTATATTTTTAGTCCCTGTTAAATGGAGAGTTAAATTTGAATTCAATTATAGATTGTTCCGTACAAAAATGATACAGATTTGAGACGGTCCTATATTAYTAAGTATTATGTGCTATAAAATTAAATTGCTATTAGTAATATAATCAATTGAATTGTGTTTTCTCAAAAAAACATTCCATTTATTATTTTAATAGGTAGAAGGTTGTTTCCTATCACGTATGATTATTTTTATTGTATTGGGGTCAATTTAGACTAACCAACTTATTAGTGAGAATAGATTCGTGGTATGGAATATAGGAAATAGTATAAAAKTAATCTAAACATTTGTAATTTTATATGGTATAATATTATAATGAGCTATGATAGTTGTATACTCAAAGCTAATAAAAAAAAATATTTATACACAATATTTACGCAAAAGTTTCAAGTCCTCACAAATTATATTTTGTAATTACGAATTACAAAATAACTAAAACTGTTATTTTTTGATTAAATATTCAACTGTGTACCAACATTTTAATTTCAAATTCCTATAAAAAAACATGCATGTACTATATTATATTCTTTTAGATTATTAGATTTCAGAAAGTTTTTAGTAAGATACATTGAACCCAGCTTTTACGGTGTTGCTACTAATAGTACTGAAATTTCATACATTTTAAATTACTCAGAATGGGTGTCTAGATATTTGTCATTTATACAATAAAAGTTAAACGCTCAACCATAAAATATAATTTAACTATTACGTTTCTACTAGATTGATTTAAAAATGACTGAAACATATCTATGAATGCATTTTTTGTAATTTTATAATTTTCTGGTGATAAGGTCTCGCTCTATGTTTTTATTATTGCCGGACTGGTTGTAAAAAGGTAGTCTAAGGAATATAGGCCATTTAATTTTCTGAAGAATATTCTTGTGTTAGCTCTACTATTTCTCTCTAAAATATAACTATTTCTTCTTCCTATAATCCATCTATTTTATTATTTTGCCTTTCTTTAACAAATAATTATAGTGTCATTTCATTCTCTTCTATCGAGCCATTTATTATTTTTAGACTGGTATTAACGCTTTCTACTATGGCTTATTCACATTTTTCTTATATCCGTTTTTATATTTTATTCGTCATGAGAGGGTATTAAATAATTATTATCAAACAATAATATTTAATTTACAACTCAGCATAAAATATCATTTATTATTGATAAGTTTAAACCTCAAAAATTAGCCAGAATGTTATACTTGTTTTAAACCTAAATCTTTTTAGAATTTCTTCTCCAGAAATATAGGTACAATAGTACGTATTGTCACTTGTATTAATGGTACCTGAACTTTCTCACCTTAATTTTTTAATGGCAGTAATATATAATTAGTTTTACTCAAGACATGAAACAATGGTTGTCATAGATCCAGTATTATAATTCATTGCATATCCACGGTTTCGGTATGTGAACTCCAAGTCTAAGGTTCAAGGTTTTGTTGTTAAAAAATCATTGTTTCTTGAGTGTCATATCTACCCCAAAATAATTTCCATTAATGGAGTGTCCAACTTAACGGTATAACCATAAGTACGTTAATCCAGTTAATTCAAATAAGAATAATTATACGGTATTCATACTTTCATTTAAAAACAACAAAAATGTATATATGCATAATATGTAAAGAAAAAAAGAAAACTAAATAACCAGATATTTTCAACTTTCTATATACATTTTACTAAATGAGCAAAAATAAAATAATGTTTGAAATTTACATTTTTGGTGAAAAATGTAAGTGTTTAATGTATAACACTTGAATTACAATAAGGAAACAAAATCAATTTTGTCAGCAATTTATCTTCACACGATTATCAAATTAAAAATTAAGAATCCTATTTAAAATATAATAAAAATAAAATAATATAATTCCATGTACGAATCAATTTTTAAAACATTAAATATTAAATTTAAAAAGAAATCAATAATTCAAAATAACGAAATTTCAATATATAAAAAATTATAACTCTATTTTCAACGTATGTCAAATACATAATAAATACAACTATTAAAACTGAATCTAAATAAATCAAATATTTTTTCATTAATACTAAAACCTTCAGATATATATGTATAATGTTTTTGAGCATTTTTATGTATCTAATTTAAAATATAGGTAAACCAGTAATTTTTTAGTTATTGAAATGTTTATACTAATAATAGTCATAAAAATGGTTTTACAAAAATATATTTAATATAAGTAATATTGGATCTAGTATTAATAATACTTGGACTATTTATAAAAATCATTAATGTTGACAGATTAATCGTAGACATTTTTTTCATAGCTCCCAAATCTTTCAAACCTGTCACTGAGGACCTATTTTTAACTATTGAAAACAACTGTTTGAATTTTGATTCTGATTTATATCATTTTTATAAATATGATACCTAAGATTAATAATTTAGAGGAATACATTAAAAAAGCAATAGTTTGTTTACCTTAGGGTACTTCTTTAAAGATAGTAAAAAAAAGCGGGCAAGTCGTGGATGTCGCTCTGCTGTACCGTAGGTTACAAGTAGGTTACTGTTATTATTGATGGAATTAAATTTGAATCCAATGATATTATATCATTGTATACGAAAAATGATTCTGAGCGGAGACGATTTATCTGTCTATAGATTATTAAAAATTTTCAAATCTTAGACTTAAAAAGAAATTTTTTTATGTATTTTGTAGAAACAAAAAAACTAAACAAGTTGAAAAATTAAAATATCAGTAAACAGCTCAAAACAAATCAAAATATTTTGAAATATTTATCCAATATAGAAAATGCCTATATAAACATTCAGTGAAAATTGCATGTATCTTGGGACATTTGTTTAAGCGTTACACCGAAATAAGAAAATCGCTAAGACGCTAAATGAGAAATCTAGTGAAAATTCAATTTGAATTTCTGGTAGATATTTATTTCATGATAAAAGTTGACAAACTAGAAAGAAATCTTGTATTAAATTTTAATTAAAAATTCCCGTTTTTTTCCTTAATTTTTAGTTTGTTTATCCCTATTATTTAGAAAAATGTTGAGATATTTTTAATTTTGACCCCCCCAAAGTACCAACTAGATTCACTTTCTGATCTAACAAGGTACTGAAGTCGAAAATTGAATCATTTTTACTGCCCCAAAACATGATGACAGACACAAACAAAAACACACACTTCATGGTAAAATCACTACATTCCTCGTTCCACTCAGAATCTAAAATCTCATGGATCTTAAAATATGAACTTAAAGTATATTTCTATATTTCAAAACTTTAATATCAATCAACGGTACTATTGAAGAAAATAATGAAGTGATCATGATTTATGAATCCCTCTAATAATAATAAAATAATCATATACTATTAATATGTCCACAGGAATACATGTTAGGTGATAAGAATCAGAGTGTTTTACCGGTGGCATTTTCTTTGATGGCCAGTTTCATAACAGCGATCTCGATGTTTGGTTTGAGCTCGGAAGTATATACTCGTGGTACCCAGTTTTCCGTCATAATTATCTCCTACATTATCGCCACTCCCATCATAGGTTACTTATATCTGCCGGTTTTCTTCAAACTCGGGAACCTGTCTCTATACGAGGTAGTAAACCACCAACATTATAATAATAATAATAATAATAATACAATGATATTGTTTCGTTGCACTGTATACCTACAGTACTTGGAAAAAAGATTTGGGCGTTTAACTCGAGTGACTACGTCGTTGGCGTTCAGTATACAAATGATATTTTACATGGCGATTGTATTGTACGTCCCAGCACTGACTTTAGAAGCTGTTACAGGATTACCTCAATCTGCTTCAATTTTAGTTGTGGGATTAGTGTGTGTATTCTATTCTACAATGGGTGGGATAAAAGCAGTCATCATAACAGATTTATTACAAGTAAATTTATATTTTATGTTCAGTTTTTATTGGTTATTATTGTACATAATATTAATTATACATACATAATTATAATACTATATTCGTATTATAATGCACACATGTTATAAAGAATTGAATATTTTTTTTTATCAACTATTCAAGTCACTTCTCATGTATGCATCAGTAATTGCGGTTATTGGGGTTGCTTTGTATGAAACTGGCGGTCTATCGGAAATTTTGGACATTTCCTATAAATATGGACGAATTAATTTCGGAAAGTAAGTAAAAATGTATTTATTTGATTTATACAGCTATTATTGATAATATATTTTAAAAGTGATTAATTAGTATTTGATAGTGTACCATTGATATTACACGATCTCTGATTAACTTTTAAAAATCAAAAAAGTTTATATTTTTTCAAACAATTTTTACAAATTTGAAATTAACTTTATAAAAACATAACCTAGTTAATCAATAAATAATATCACAATAATTATAATTTGTATTGCTTTGCGATATGCTTACTTAGAATTCCAATTTCATCATTCTGATTTTAAATAGTTCATTAAATYATTATCTATCCTTAGTAGAATATGAATACAATTTTAAATTTTTTAAATTTTTAAAGTAATAATATACTTATTTTTATCAATTTCAGTTTCAATATCAATCCAACAGTAAGACACAGTTGGTTTAGTATACTAATCGGAGGCTGTTTCACTCAAATATCTTTATATGCTGTAAATCAAACACAAATACAGAGGTTTTTAACATTGAAAGACTATAATACTGCTGTCACCGCGCTATGGTGTAGCTTACCACTAGTGATTGTGATATCCCTTTTAACATCTTTTTCTGGTCTAGCGATGTTTTCAAAATATTACAATTGCGATCCTATAAAGTAATTAAATATTGAAGTTTTTATTACTAAAATATGTTAATACACTATCTGCATTCTACATAACATTATAGCATTATTTATATATATTTTGTATTTTATATTGTATTATGTATTGTATCCACGTCACGAAATCACCATTAATAGTTCAAATTTTAATCAAAAACATTCCATCTTATGAACATTGATCATATCATGTAATGAATAATATGTTTGAAGTTAATGTAATGGACAAATATAGAGAAACGAAATAAATGACATAAATTGTTTCGTTAGGTATAGGCATCAACAATAATTAATGATGCCTATACTAAACCAAGATCGCTCTTATTTGGTAACAAAATTACGAACTAATTAGGTAAGACTGGTGAAAGTGTTAGACCTATGATAATAATTCGGTGACGTACAATAGCATAATATTAGGAAACATTAATCATACATTTTAATTTCATGATTATTCAATCTATGATATTAATTACCTATGCATATTTTGTTATATGTAGGTATGCATTCCAATAAAAATTAACTTAAATTTTTAATTTTCAACACTTTCGCCTACATAGTACACATCATGAACAATTTAGGTATAAGCACGCATATTTGTTTTATTTAAATCATGTAGGTACAAGATTATAGATAATAATATGATAAATATAACTGTAATAAATTGTCTTTACAAAGGTCTGGTCGTATATCAAGCAGTGATCAATTGATGCCATTATACGTGTTGGACACTATGGGATCTATACCCGGCTTATCTGGATTATTCATAGCTGGAATATTTTCATCAGCAATGAGCTCTGTTTCACCAATTCTTAACTCATTGGCAGCAATTACGATGGAAGATTACATAAAGGTTGTTTATTGCATACCAAATAAATTTAAACGTCTGAACGGTTTGAATTTTAAACGAGGTGTTTTGTATTCCAGCCATTAAAAAAACAAGAATTATCGGATAAAAAACGAGTTTATCTTATGAAAATGTTAGTCCTCGTGTATGGCGGTGTTTGCATTATATTATCATTTCTGACAAAATATATGGGAGCGATCCTTCAAACTGCATTGACGATATTTGGAGTAATCGGCGGCCCCGTGTTGGCCGTGTTTACATTGGGTATACTTTTACCCTACATCAACCAAAAAGTAATTGATAACAATTTATAATACTATAATATTATCGGAGTCGTTTTTAAAATATTTAAATTTTAAGGATGTCGGTCCGATGGGTTTTTAGCACATAAACTTTGCTTAGAGGAAAATAACTCTGCTCTAGCGAAATACTCAAATCTCGATAATTTGTATTTATTTTTTTTTAGAAGAAAATAATTATATTTAAATTGTAAAATTGTATTTAACTCAGACTTCAAAATTTATATATTAAAGTATSTTTTAATATACCAGACTTAAGTTTTTCTCTTTTCAATTCAATATCCAAATATTCTATGATGCTCGTTTGTTATTTCTAACCAGAAATCATATGGATTTTAAATGTTATCTTTTAAATAGACGGCTCCGACATCCATAATTTTATTCACATTATAATATTTTATGTTTATTTAAAAAATTATTAATCAAAAAATCTCAAATTTCCACAGGGTGCACTGACTGGCTTAATATTTGGATTGACTTTTTCGTTTATAATTGGATTTGGTGGTCCTAAACCTCCGGTTGAAAATCTACCTTCATTCACAAATTCCTGTACAATATTTAATAGTTCAACAATTTCTACCCAGCTTTCATCATCATATTATAAACAGTAATATTTTATATTTAATTGTCTTATTGTAGGTATCTGTGAATGTTAAAAATCAAAGTTGTATTCAAAAGTTTACTATGTCTAAGGAAACGCTAGTTTTTAATTTTAAATTTAATCATAGGTATTATAACTGAAAGTAAAATATAATATGCATTTCTGCTTTTAATCTAAACGTTTTTTGAAGGGGTGGTGGGATTCATCTCTCGGAATCTGCAAATTTTTTTCCTTTTAAATGATTTTTAATTGTATTTTTAATAATAGCATTCATAATCAAGGATTAAACGAAATATAAAATAAATTATACCTACTATAAAAAAGTAATAAGTTTATTAATGTGGTGCATATACTCATATATATAGTGGAGGGAATCCTGCTATTTAACGAGAGTTGTATTTAAAACAACTTAATCACCCCTCCCTCTGCACCAAATAACCTTCAGATACACCACTGTAATATTATTTTATATTTACTATATTATTATATTATTAAAATTGTAATTCTCAATTTTATTTCTGTAGAGCACTTCACGAAGACGGTTATCTATATTTGTATAGAATCAGTTATCTGTATTACGTAGTGTTGGGATTTTTGGTAACATTTGTAGTGGCAATGATAGTGAGTGCAATATTCCGTGGAAAAAATCGTGACCATGATCCGGATCTATTCACCCAGTTTGTGGCGAACCGATTGAAAAGAAGTGACAGRGATCATGAACAAAACTAATAGTATTTAATACAATTTAAATTATACAGCTAATCGCAGTTGATTTGCCTTTCAATTGATCGATATTAAATGATGCATTATTATATTATGTTGTTATCCAACACCGGAAACGTGTGTTTTATTATGTCACATCGAAATAAACTTCAAGCAACCACCGTATATCCTAATTAATAAGCAATTGAAAATTTGCTTCAAATAAGTTATATATTATATTTATCGTTCATGTTTACGGTTTATGTTTATATTTATTGTGAAAAAAATTTAGTAATTACAAAATTTAATCTTTAACTGAATTTTATATATATATATATACTGAGAACCAAATTGAACGCAAATTAGTTTAGAATATTTTAAAATTAAATATTGCATTAGTTGGATATTTACTTGAAATAATAATTTATAAATTTATAATTCATATTAATATACACTGCATGTTTAGTGACTAATTTATTATTTTCATTGAAAATAATTTATTTATAAGTTATTATAACCCGAAGATACATATAAACATTTTAATGTTTACGTACAATGTTTATGGTTAATTTTGTTACCATACATTTTGAATAAAAAAATTAAATATTAATTATTAAAAAAAAAAATAAGAAAGACTATTTTTCTTATTGTGAAAAACTTAGTTTTTTCTTTAAAACTTTTAGTGTTAAAATGTTTGAAACTTTTTCTCGTCAAACTTTTGATTATTTTTTTTTTCATTAATATAGTTTAAATTAAAATAAATTTTTGAAACTTAAAAAAAGGATTATATATATTTTAAAAATAAAAATAATTAGAACAATGAAAATACTCTGAGGATACTGATTTTATTCAAAATTAATATAGACGTAATTAACTCGTCCTTGAGCAAAGTTTGTATCATTGTTTTTCTTTTTGTATGCTTATATAATATATTATTATATTAACATAAATAAAAATATTTTGGTTAAAAATKTTCAATATTTTTCACTCTTAGAATAAAAATTAAATGATGACAATTAAATATTTGTTAAATTACTAAATTTTACTACACTAATATTACAATGTTAATTGCTTTAAATGTATATTATGATTTTTTTTTTTTTTTAGTAGGTATAAAAAACATGTATTCAACCTTTAGACTAACTTGTTAGTTAATAATAATTAATAACAATGTTTACATCAAAAAAAATTACTCGTAGTTTCTATCAATAGTTTTATGTTAATATAAATATAAATATTCAATTACTTGGTTGTTGGGACAATAAAAACTTTGCGCCAATAAAATTGAAATAATAAGTAATAATTCAATAAAAAAAATTATTTAATATTTGAATCATCAGTACATGTTCAATCACCATATGCGATGCCGTCTCGCGGAAATGAATTCGTTGGTATTTGGTAAATACATTTCCTTTTATTTCTACGTAAATATAAAAACAAAAATATGAACTCAAGGACCGGTGCCACGATAGCCTAGTGGTCGTCAGAACCCTGTACAAACGTGGGGATATCTTATAATATTATATACTCTCGTGATATCTACATATGTCGGGTGGGGAACGAAACTTGATCACGTTGGGTCCGAATGAAAGTGKGGTCCGTTCCGTGAGTTCCGCCCTAATGGGTGTGTCACGATCCGAGGAGTAATCGTTTGGATTGAGTCGACTTCAAGGATGTGCACTCAGGTGTCGTAACTGGTTAACTACTGATGGTCGTCGGGGTTGGGCTACAGTTAATGTATGCCGCTGGTGACAATACCGTGCTGCAACTAAGTTGTTCAATCGTGAAATGATAATCTACGACGTTCGGAATGAGCTTCGTGTTTATCGATGGTGGCACTTGGTGTCTAGTTCCTTCAAGTCTGTGTGATGTACTGTTATATGTTGACGGTTGAAGGTTAGAATGAAGACTGAGTTAGTGCTTTTCTTTGCTTTTCGTTGGAGGATGGCTTTACCATTAAATATTTCAGGCCTGTGCCTCTACTAATGAATGGAAGTTTGAAGATGATTGAGTTTGTTTATTGGTTAATCCATGTRAATGGGTAAGGTTTGGGTMATATTTTGGTAGTGGTAGAAGTGTGAGTTTCACCTAGAAGTCGAATATGGACATGATCCAAGAGGGAGTTTTGTAGAACAGTSCTCGGATTGGTACCGAATAGAAGTTTTGATGAATTTGAAGTTTGCAGATTTAAGAAGAACTGAATTATTGACGGTAGTGGGCTTACCCGTTATTGTATGTATACCCATATTTTGGGCGGATTTTATACGCCTCTGATGGCATAGCATCATCGGTGAAAAGTGAGAGGTAAGTTTTAGGAATCGTTAATGTAGGTCAAGTATAGTGTTGGGGGATAGGCAGGATCGTTGAGGGACGCCTGCGAGTATGTTTCTGGAGGACGAGAATGAGATTTCGATTTTTGTGATGAAAGTGTGGTCAGTAAGAAAGGATTCAATGACTTAAACGATTTCAGTTTTATTTTATCGTGTTTTTAAATTAGTCAAATTAAATTATTTGTTTGAAAATAACTTTAGACCCTATTGATATTAAAAATATTTAGTTAATATATTATATAACATTAAAACCAGTTAAAAAATTAACAAAGTACCAAATATATCTTCTATCCATCTATTTCTACATATATATATATATATTAATTTTTCTGTCTGTCTGTATGTTTATCCTTTATGCATTCCCAAACGGCTGGACCGATCGTGACAACATTTGGTACAGAGATATATTATAATTAGACTTATGAGCAGAAGATAGAGTAAGTTAAAAAGTAATAGGACCAAATAATAAAATTATTATCAATGAATATCATTTAGTTGAATACCTATTTGAATTATTAGACTTTTTTTGATAAAATGAATAAAATGACATTTGTCATCTATCTGTATGTATACAAATATACTGTTACTATAATCACAGGAAACGAATTTAACACACAGCTTGAGACATATAAGAGGTAGGATTTWTAATGGGCTTCGAAATGCACAGGTTTATCTAGTATATAATATTATTTTCAAATATCATTGCAACTTTAAAGTATTTAATATTTCTCGAAATTATCRACAGTTTAAAACTTTAAATGTCAGTAACGTTGGTGCTGATATTCACATCTATATAATACAACTAAATTGAAGAACTATTTTGATCTTCAATCTTTAACCTATAATGAACTTRCCAAAATACACATATAATTTCAACTGCTTATATCACAGAGCGACCTCGACCTTTAAATTCCAGGAGTCATGTCCCCACTGTGATTCTGATTTGCCCATAAATCCTGATATGATAGTGACTGAGTGTATAAAAAACTAAGTGTATTTTTTCACAAATAAAAATAGAAAGTTCATGTCTTCGTTGAATGTAAGATGAATATGATAATAAAAAGTTTTAGTATAGTAATGCAACTTTGTCATATTAATGCAAACTTATATGTATTGATAAATTTCAAAATATATAAATATACTAATGTGGCACTACAATCGATCTAATATATTTTTGTACAACATTCTCTATAATTTAGACGATAAAAAAAATCCAAATTGTTATTCCTGGACAATAAATCCACAATTTCTCTCATTGCAACGAGAGAAAGTTCTGTCCAGATTAGAGACACGTTAAAATATACTATCTTACTATGTATATTACTATCTTCTTAAATTGGTAATTTACATCAGTCATTATTCGATACTTTGGTAATAACTAATAACCTTACAAGTACGTGGTAAACTAATGATTTCAAGTATGTTGCTATTTTTTCGAATACGGGATAAAAATGTTTACAAACACTTGAGAAAGCAGGTTCGAGTAAGTGATATGAGTGCAATTCTTTTTAGAAAACTGTCGCAAATAAGAACTCGTGCGTTGAGGGGATYTAATGAAAAGGGTGTAAGTGGATGGGAATTTAAGCTCATCTCAATTTGCACAAATATAAAATTCAATTTCATTTATAGTCCATACCATCTATAACATCACATAATCCGCTCAAGTGCTGGGTTACTCAGAGAGGGATAAAATGTCACGTAATTCCTTGATTGTCCATAAAATGGTAAATACATACCATACACAGTACGAACAACTATATATTGAACATCTTCATGTTTTTAACACTTTTGTTGGCACCAGCCAAACACAACTGAGTTTATAAGAAATACGTATTATGTATTTTAGTTGCTTTCCAATATTCTAATAAAGCTATACATGATACATATTAATAATATGATATTATGAATATAAACAAAACACTTCGTCAATCTCTGGGCTAATATGATATTATGAATATAAACAAAACACTTCGTCAATCTCTGGGCTATGGGCATTTTCGTAATCATAATGATGAGGGTATGTAGTTACATTAGGCTTTTAGGGGTTGAGATATATGATCTACATGTAGGTATAACATTTTCAACTATTCTCCATTTGTTAAAAAGCACTTATTGCAAACGGACATTAGACAGCTTGTAGATTGTAGTCCAGGATGAAATAATTTATTATGCTAGTATATGCAAGTGGTATAAAAATTTTTATATTTTACTTACTTTAGAATGTTTGACCTTGGATCCACTGCTATATTTATTTTATTTATAATATATAAACGCCAAACGGCAATTTTAAAATATCAGAATAAGTATAAGTTAATAGATACAATAATAGTATAATAATACAAATACACACAAAAAAAAAAAGATCATATGGAAAAATACACTATACTATAACTAAATAGTAATACCTTAATTTAATAATATAAAACTATAGTACAACATATTTATAATATGTATATTTAATTACCTATTAAAATCAAAATTAAGATTGTTCAGATTACGAAGCATTCTGTGTAAGGGGTGATTATGTCCTTTGGATGTCATTACTAGACAAATTACTTTTTACAATGTAATTAATATTAACTTGAAATAATAAACTTGAAACGCGTTGCCATGGAACATTTTAAATCGGCTCAAAAATAAATACAATATAGGTTGTTAAGCCTAGATGTTATTATAAAATATCACGTTAGTTATTGAATAATTGGTAGATAAATTACCGTCTTTCAAACTGAATATGTATATACACTACAGTGCATTCCCCCCTAGGAATTCTAAAGGACTGGGAGATGTAATACAAGTRTAACTGAATATTTTATAGGTTATATTATTCCGGTTTAAAATGTTTGAAACAAATTATTTCCATTTGTACCATAAAATATATTTATTAGTAAAATTAAAAGTTGACAGACCACCTTCGCTGAGAATCGTTTTTCTTTTTTTTTTTT